TAAGACATTAATCACTTACTTTATTATTGTGAATATTTTGGCATGCAATAATTTGGTGTCATTTAAAGTAAGCATTCCCATCATTCTACAAGAGCTCATCTAATAGTTGATAGACATAATAAACATAATAATGGAACTTTGCTCTCTAATGCTTACCAATCTAGATACTAATCCCTCAATTAAGGATAATATAATCTAATCAATGAAGATCACACAAGCCTAACTTTAGAGTATCTCTAATCAATGAAGATCACACAAGCCTAACTTTAGAGTATCATCTTCACATGATAATAATAAGCTCAAACCCTTTAATTATAATAATAATTTGCTCAACAAATAACTTCATCACTACATGGTAAGGTTTTACTTGCATAGTACAAATGGGCAATGCTTCTTCTATTCCTCCCTAATGAGAATAGAACTGATAGCATCCTCACCCACTCCCACGTATAACAACAAGTCCTCACCCGATATAGAATTTTGGAGTAAAGGTGGCAAGGAAAGAAGAAGCTTCATTTATTGGAAGGCGACCTCACAATCCTTGCTCCAAGACAACTTCTTGGCATTTCTAAGCACAAAAAATAGCAAGTAGCTCTAACCCAACCTATAGATGAAGATGTTTAGCCCAACGACTCACTTAGTGAGTCGTTTCACCTTTTTTTTTTTAGTCCTTGGTGATGGCATATCCATAATTGCTTTTATATTGTCAAGATTCACCTTGATGCCTTCAGAGGTGAGAAAGAAACATAGAAACATCTTTGAACATGCACCAAAAATGCATTTTAGAGGGTTGAAGCACATGTCGTACCTATTAAGAGTGGAAAATGTCTCCTTCAAATCTTTAATATATTGCTTGGTTGACTTGCGCTTCACCAACAAGTCATCCAAATACACTTTAATAATCCTCCCCTTCTAGCTCTTAATCATTTTATCCATCATCCTCTGATAGGTTGCCCCTGCATTCCTCAAGCCAAAAGGCATGACCTTATAGCAATATAAACCTTCTTCAACAATGATGGCAATTTTATCATAGTTTCTTAGACGTGTTTTTATTTTGCAGTAGCTAGAGAAAGCATTTAGGAAGCATATCACTGAGTAAGTACCCCACTGTTGAGTCAACTAGTGAAAGGGTAGTTGATAACCATCTTTTGGGCATGTTGAGTTTTAGTGAAGTCCACACACATCCTCCAATTGCTAGTTATCTTCTACACAATCACCACATATGAGATCCAATTTAAGTTTTGCATTTCCTTGATGAAGTCGGCCTCAACTAATGTTTATACCTTCTGCTTGATAGGATCGGCGAGTTTCATTATTGTCTTTCAATTTTTATTTTATTTTTTGGGCATTGCATCCTTTCTTACATTTAACTTATGGTATGTGTCATCTTCATTAATGTCTGGCATCTCCATTATTGTCCTAGCAAAAACATCTAGATCTTCCTTGAGAGCTTGTGTGAGCTCACCTCTATATTCATCACTGAAGGAGATATTTATTCTCAGGGTTCTTTCTAACTCGCACTCCATAGTTGTAATTTTTTCAACTAATTTCATGGTCTCCAACACTGGACCTCTCTCCACATCAAGTTAGAGGACTTCTTTTTAAGTTGCCACCTTCCTTACTACCCATAAATAACATGGATGTGACTATATAATTATAATTTCCCTAGTAGGGAATTTGAAAACAACATGGTAGGTTAAAATTATAGCCCTTAAAAGTGTTTAGCAAAGGCATGCCAAAGATGGTATTGTATGTGGTTGAGGCATCTGAACAATGAAATCTACAATTGTAATATATTTCTAGTCACCCTCACCTAGGTGATTGGAAGGGTGAGTATTCCTTTTGTTTCCCTATGCTCTCCAGAGATATCATATAAGGGACCTTCATTAAGTGTGAGTTGGGAAGCAAAGATATTCATTTTCTTAAACACACATTTCACGATAATATTAATGAAACTCACTATGTTAATCAAATTACTACTTATTGTGTAATTGGTGAACAAGGCTATGATAACCATAACATCATTGTAGGGGTTCCATCATCCAAACATATCTACTTCTCCAAAAGTGATTGAGGTGACGTGCACTACTAGAGCTCATGAGGTAGACACTGAGTTCGCATCTCTAACCTTCATTCTTTTAACAATAGTCAGGGAGATAGTTTGTTCTCCCCCCATAATGACGAGCATCACACTAATAATAAGGATGGTATGAGCTAAGATGAGCTAATTTTCATTTCCCTTCATGGGGCCTTTCTTGAGCACTAACAATAATCAACAAGTACAAACTTCTTTAACTTGTTTCCCTTGATGAGTCTCCAACTAGTCCTCAAAGGTGGCAGTGCTCCCCTTTGTCGTAACCACGATTTTCATGTGAGGGACTGTATCTGGAGGTGTCCTAATTATGTACCTACCATCATAAATGTTTGATGCTTAAAGAATGTCTTATTTAAAATGGTCTCAAGTAACTCTGGAATTAATACCTATGATGGAGTATAAGTTAGACGAGCGGGAGTAGATGTGCGACTTCCTTATAGTAAGGATGAGTGGCATGGGAAGATCCTCCGCAGTCAGTGCTGACAGCCCTCTCTTATGTTTCAAGTGACAACAATCTTTTCATGTATTGGATCTTCTTTCTTTACACTCCATATGGCGAATTCTTTCTCAATCTCACTCTTATTGTCAATCTCTTCTCATGGCAAGTTCAAAAAGGTTAGTGAATGTGGTGGACCCAACCACTCTATTATATTCTTTAACATTGATAAGATTGTTAGCGAGCTTCAACAATTTATCAAACGCTCTCAATTGATGCAAATCGAGTGCATAGTAAAAAGAATCTTCCCTTAATCCTTATATTAAGGCAGTATGGGAAACTATAGATTCCAAATCATTTACTTCTAATATCTCCCTTTAGAATTTTATAATGAAATTTCTCAGTGACTTTCTTGATTCTTATCTCATCTTAAGGAGAGCTTGTGAATTCTTTTGAGCTTTTTGGACACCGGAAAATTGTAACTCAAAAATTCTCTTGAATTCTTTAAAGAAGGTGATGACTCCCAACGATAGGCGAGTGAATCACCTCAATGAAAACTTCATGAGTGACGTGAAGAATACATCACACTTTGGAGAATTATCAATATCCAATAGAGAGATCATTGACTCAAAAGAGGCAACATGGTCCATAGGATAAATTCTTCCCTTATAGGACTCCAAATGTGACATCTTGAACTTGGGAGGCAACCTAGCCTCTGCTACCTCCCTAGAGGAGACATTGATTTGTTATGGTTTAGCATTTCTTACTCACTTAAATGGTGGGTTCTATTCTTCATCATTTGTCACTGAGTGAGCGAGATCATGGACATATATTGATGTTAGTGCTCTATTATCTGACCTCCTGCGGTGAGTTATCCAGTCAAATAATCATTCAAGGATACTCTCCCTTTTTGAATGCCTTCATAGCCCTCCCAAGGCATATTGGATCATTTTTCTCCAACTTTCCTCCATCTTCAAAAGGTTTTGGCAAGTAATGTTACTAGGGTTCTCCATATTCACTTAGGTTTAAAAGATGTTTTGCACTTCAAGTTGGGCTTATCTTCTAGTTATTAGCATCAATCTACACTCACTACACCTTTGAGGATGTTGGATCAAGTTATTTGTGGGTGCATATGTAGTTAAGTGCCAAGAGATAAAGATGCAAAAATGATCTAAAATTGTCATCTTCACCCTTTATCTATAGGGATCTGAGAGCTACAGAAAATGCTACATCACTAAATGAATAAAAAATAAATGACTTAATGACTCTACAGCCTGCTTTACATATGTGTTACAATTTGTTTGGTTAGATGGGGGAATCGTCTTTCTAGAACATTGCTTGAATGCTTCTAGGCGAGCTCAATAATGTTGAGTAACTGTGGATGAGTAAGAACAAGTGAGTTCATTTGCGAGTCCTTGATGGAGAGATGTGAGATTGACTAACACCTTGAGATAAGTTGTGACCTGCGTTAGAGCCCTATGTCGCCTTGCAAAGAGACGCGAGTGGGTTTGAGTTAGGGAGTTTTCTAAGTGCTTGCCCTACACTTGAAGTGATGAGTAAGATCAACAAAACCTTCGTCATGATGGATGGCAAGAAGCATTGATAAATGAGTTCTTTAGAAAGGTTGAGGGGTGAGCTAGATGACCTACAAGGATTTCAAACTATGTGGTAGGCGACTCCTTACTAAGTCCTTTGTGAAGCTGAATTTCTTGAACTTTAGGCAAGCTCTTTTATGGGCCCACAAGGTGGGAATATTTCAGCTATAACCCACTAACTATATACTAAATACCTGAAAAGACATAATTAAGCATATATTTCTAATCAATCGATGTCATGCCTCTCAGCTATAAGCTCACTTTTCATCTCAATACATCATCATCCAAGTGTTATCTTCAAAAAATTATATAGCTAATCCTCAATTTTGCATTCTTAAATATATTTTATGCAAAAACCTAGAACAAATTTTATAATTACCCTAAATACCTATAACCATTTAAAATATAGCAAATAAATAAGAGTAAAGGTGTAAACAAATCGAATTGAGCTCAAACTACTTGAACTTAATTAATTAATCAACTTCTAGCTCAAGATTAATTCTATAAGTTGCTCATTTATTATAAAAAAAAAATCATCGAGTTCAAGAAAATATTATAAAACTTGATAAACAGAATGGTGAATTAAACAAGGAATAATAAAACATCATATGAATTAAGAAGGCATAAATTTTATATATTTTTAGCAATTTTATAATAAAGGTATTACTTTTTTCATATTTTGAGTTTATTTTATATTAATATTTTAAACGAACCAACTCACGATCAAACAAGTTGAGAGAGCGCTAACTCAAGCTTAGCTTGTTAACCCAACGAGCTCAACTCAAGTTATTTAGCAAGTCAAGCCCAAGCCATTTTACGAGTCTGTGCAACTCACTTACACCCCTAGATAATATAACCAAAAGATGTGCTGTCATTCATATAAATGTCATTCGTCAATCCTATGATGTATTGTGTTGTTCCATAAAAATTACAACATGTTACTCTCCCAAAGATGAATAACATACTTTGTAAGTTTTTTACACATTATTGTGCAGTCATGCGCGTACAAATATGGCTTTTTTCATAAACAATATGTTATGTTAGGTTGTTGAGAAACAAGACTGATAAATATTTACTAAACAAAGCCTAAACACAGACAAGCTGCAGGATTTTAGAGAGAGAGAGAGAGAGAGAGAGAGAGAGAGAGAGAGAATATGGGAATGGCAAAAAATTACCATTGGAAGTTACAGGGATACAACAGAAACAGGAATTGAATGGAAATTGGTAATCATTTGTATGATGAAGTTTTGCTTATAAGAGGATAAAAAGGGCAGAGAGCACATAACTGCATCAACAGACTATCTTGGTGCAAACAGAAGAAAAGAAATTCCTACTGAGAGCCGAAATCATTGCTATTACCTTCACAGCAGAAATTGGTAAAGAGTTCGCTTTGCCCATTTCTAGATGGTTGCCGCATCTTTCCCCTTCTTGCAGCATATAGCACTTTTGGCCTGGAAATTTGGCTTTGATTAGTATTCAAAGCTTATTGCCTATCTTAGTGAAAATATACTAAAGAGAGACTCCCCTTCCCAATAAAGTTGGGCAAAGTTTAGTACTGCTTTCTCCTTTAAAATATGCCAAAGACTTTCTCTCCTTTTCCTTTAAGACTCCGTTCTTCCAAAAGAGATAGAGAGAGAGAGAGAAGCAACTCCACAGCTTGGCTGCCTCGAGAGCTTTCATTCCTCTGATTGAAGAAAACGACCAAACAAAAGCTCTTTATCCTGAAGGAAGTAAGGAGAGGACAGTGAACACTTTATACATGATCTATCTATAAGAGTAAATGTTCATGACTTTATATAAAGAATTTCCCCATGCTGCATTCAATTACAATTAATAAATGTAAGAGCTAAAAGTCAAGAATGAGGATCATAATTTCAACAAAAACCTAACAAGATCAGAATACAGATCAGCCTCAAGAGGGCAGTAGGGTACCTAAAACTCTTGGACTCAGGAATTTTGGGACAGCCAATTCAATGCATCACATGATTGAAGTGCAGCAGTCACGATTATGCTGCTTTGTCCTGATTATTTGGAGTGTCCTGAAGAATAAAGGGAAGAGAAAGAAATATTATAATTCAGTGCATAAGAGCTACACATAATCCCCACAAGCTAGGGTTGTTAAAAAAAGCTCTCGAGTCGAAAGTCACTTGCAACTTAACTCCATTCAAAATAAATTTAACTCAATTTAAAGCACTATTCTTGACTCAAATTCGGGTTGATTTCTAACTTGTCCCAACTCACTTGATATAGATAGTAACTCAAAATAGAAATTGAAAAAGACAATTCACATAAAATATACAATGCATATGACATATTATACCTATAATATACAATGTTTAAAATTGCGTATTCGGGTATTGACGCGTTTTTCATTCGTGAGGCGAGGCGTAAGCCTCAAAGCGTTTTGAGGCGTAAGCCTCAAAATCAAAAGATTGCGTAAACATAAAATGATAAATTTTTTATAAACTAATGAGTGAATAATATAAAATATAAAAAATCATAAGATATGATGTGAAATCAAAATATCCAAATAATAAGACAACATGAAATATAGTTCAAATCAAAATTCTATCTTTCTCAAATCCCAGTATTCTTTTCATTAACATATAATTCAAATTTCCAAAAATAAATAGCAATGACATATCACATAAGAACTCATAAGTCATCAGCACTATCATCACTAAGGGGTTCTTCATTTGAATCATCATTATGATGAATTGCTCTCTCCCCTTCCTCCTCTCCTATAGAGTCCAATGTCGGGCATTTACTTCAAGATTTATGTAAGTTTTAATATATATAGCGTGAGGCGTAAGCCTCATGCCAGTGAGGCGAGGCGGGTCTCAAGGCGGGCCTCAACCAAGTTGAGGCGCAAGTCTCATTAAAAAAATTAGAGGCATAAGCATCGAGGCGTTTTTTACTGGAATTGCGCAAAGGCGGGCCTCAAGGCGAGCCTCATATTGCGCAATTTTAAACCATGGACACACCAATACCCCTAATAAGTAGTCATTATATATTTGAAATCCTTCTTTATCTAAAGGAATAATTAGCACTGGTATAATCTTTAAGCAATTCTTCAACCTGCTGAAGCTTCTTCAATATTATTATTATTATTATTATTATTATTATTATTATTATTATTATTATTATTATTATTATTATTATTATTATAAATTTAACTGCATTTGAGTTAATCATGACAATCTAAGAACATTCCTCAACAAACCTTCTTTAATTGATCGTAAGGCCTATAAAACTTCTTACTTCTATAATATTGGTCGGCCTTGTCTAATCTAATATAACTTGAATTTTATTTAAATCTAAAATTATGCCCTTGGTACTAATCACATGTCCAAAAAGGCAAAACTGTTTAGCCAAAATTCACATATAGAAAATTTTGCATATAACTCAATTCCCTTTTAGTGCTTGTGATATTTTATGAAGATAACTGACATAAACGATTTCATCCCTCGAATAAACAAAAATATTATTGATGAATATATCACAAATATATCAAAAATAGTTTAAAAATTTTGCTCATCAGGCCCATAAACATAACTGGAGTATTTGTCAATCCAAAATACATGAATTCATAGTGAGCATATGTTGTTATAAAGGTTACTTTTACTATATCTTCATTTTTCATATGTAACTAGTGATAATCGCAAGTCAATTTTAAAGAAAATAGAAGCTCCTTCAATTTAGCCAAACAAACCATTAATCACTGACAAAGGATATATATTCTTAATGATGAGCTTATCCAATCCAATTCTGTATCGTCAGCACATATACTGAAATTTTCATCATTTTTCTTTACAAAAACAAAACACTGGAGCTCCTTATGGAGAAATAAATCTAATAAAATATTTTGCCAACAATTCCTATAGCTGACTTTTTAACTCCTAAATTTTTTTAATTGCCACTTTATATGGTGTCCTTGCCGGCGTTTGAGTTTGGTAATAAATCAATTGTAACACATATCTCAGTATCTCACTAAGGAAGTTCAGATAAACATCTATAAAGACTTCTGGGTAATCTCACCACTAGTATATCCTTCACTTCTTTTTATGTCCATTATTTGAGAAAAGAAATATTGATTATCATAATTCAAAAATATGAAAACTTTCAAAGATGATATTGACATTTGATATTAACCCTTGATCCCCAAAAAATTTGAATTCTCGCTCTCCAAGATAATTGAACTTGACCATTTTTTATACCAATCTATATATAGTGTCAAAACATTCTATCAATCCCTAGTATTACTTCAAATTCGAATATTGACAATTAAATCATAGCTGCCTCAGAAATATTCATGCAACTTTCTAAATTTGTCAAACATTTTCTTTTTATATCAATTTGGGTTCCATTTGGTATAACAATCGATAAAGTCGGATGCATAGAAATATATAAACTAATAGATTTAATAAAATCCTCAAACTTGAAAGAATTTGATGCTCAAGTGTCAAATAAAATTCTGGCAGACTTATTTTGAATAAAAATTATAGATGTAATGACTTCAGAAAAAATGAAAGATACTCTTCTGTCAACTAAACTTTTCATAAGTCAATTGTAAACAAAAATTATAATTGTGATGATGTTAAACAATTCTTTCGATTCTTATAATGATAAAGCAACCCCCGATGTTGAATAATATGTCGAGTATGATTCTGACTTCGAACTAACATAGTTGATTCTATTATTTTCTTTAGGCAAATTTTTTTTGAGATCGTGCAACACTTACTGTTACTTCTGTAAAAGGCTTTTGTATATGAGTAAAATAATTCTTCACCATATGTTCAAACTGATGACACCAAAACAAGTGCTAATCCCAAGAAAACGTTCTCATACGTGCTCTCCAACATTTTTCACAGTTCTTGATATAAACATCACTCCCACTACTGCTTGATAGATTTTTTTTTTTTTCAACTAGAGTTTTTAAATTATGAGACCTACACACTTTTTTATTCTTCCGCATTCTTTTTTCCTTAAAATCTCTACATTTTTGGGAGCTTAAATAAATATTCACCTCCACCCTTCTAGCTCTTTTCAAGAATACAGAATAATCAACAAATTCCAATAAAACTAAAAGTTGCTTGATCAGATCCATTAGCCCAGATAAAAAGCAATGTCACTTCTCTTGTGTTTGGAATTAGCTGTGCTTATCTCAAAAGTATGATAATTTATAATGCATATAATAAATCAATCTCTCTGCAACAATTTAATGAGTTTGTCTTGCATTGCCATCTTGCAGAAGAAGACACAAATCACTCAAAATAAACTCCACACAATACTCCTACATAATCAAGTACATGAGTTGACCACCAAATTTACCTTGCAATTACTCCTGCCAGTATCTATCTGTTTTACCCTCAAAAGCAGTAGAAAGTGCAACTCCTCTCTTGAGGGGAGAACATTTTATCAATAATATTCATAATCAGCATCAACCAGTTCTTAGCTTCAATTAGTTCTACGATTCTAAAAAAGAGGGAAGCCTCATTTCTTAAAATAACTTGAAGTATTTATCTATTGTAACTCCACTTCAGCTAGGCTGGGATTAGGAATCCTGAATTATTTGTGCTACTGTGGTTATCAAATGGATAAAAATATCTATAATGACACTATTATGGCTGGACTCAGTCATTATTTACTCCTTATAACCCCAAAACTTGTGATTAATTAAACCTCACTTCCATGCCATTCCCATCAGTACTGTCCTAATTGAAATCCATAAGCCTGTGATATAAAAGTTATTAAATTAATTAAAGCTTATTATACTTTTGTATACCTACCAAATCTTCTAATTATCTAATGACAACTCATTAATCATCCGAATAACAATTTTAACATTATTATTATTTTTTAACTAACTTTTGTCTTTGATACCACTTTTATCAAAACCCGGCTCTAGAGCTTGACAGAAAATAAACGAACACCCATTTAATTTCCCACTATCAGCATTATAGATTGTCAAGTAATAATATCTTTTAAAATCAAAAAGCCACCAAATCATAGTACTTTGTTCATATATAAATCATTTATGTCTACAAACATTCTAGCACAAAATTTTTCTTCTCAGAAGTCAAACACAGAAGACCTTTATAATTTTCTATTTCATCTGCATAAACATAAGTTACAGGTTTTATTTAAATGTTATCTACTGGTATTGGTTCATTTGGATTTGTATATGAAATAAGTTGCATTTCTGCTGGGACTGGCTCATTTGTTGGGATTGGATCTTTTGGTGGGATTGGCTCATTTGGTGGGGTAGGATCTTTTGGTGGGATTGGCTCATTTGGTTCATTGGGGCTATGGGGAGGGATATCTGATTTGTCTCTTATTGGAAGATGAAGAGTAGCTAACAGATCTTTTCTGAGGAACTACTTTGCTCTGATCAATGTAATTATTGAGCTTGACCTCAATAACTCCAACTCTCTCAGTAAGATCTTCAAACTTTGTGCTCAGCCTGTCTTCAAATTCTCGAAAAAGTTTTGTACATGTTTCTTGGCATGATTTCATTATTGTTTCTTGTAGAGACTGAAGTGCTTCAGGAGAAAATCTTAAGTGTGGTTGCTGAGGAGATTGGTGGGGGTCTTGCTGAGGAGGTGGGGTATGATGGAGAGATTGGGGGGGTTGTTTTGATGGGTGGATATATGGGTTGACCTTTTATAACAAAGCATTGTTTTGAAATGTCCCACCTTGAGATCAGCTCATAAATAAGAGGGACATTTTGCTCAAACCCAGGAAATTCCAAAAACTGTATCACCTTTAAATGTTTCAATGTGTCCTTGACTTCAGGAGTAATTTGCTGAGCAAAGTTATCACAGATTGTTCGAAACGAAGAAACATAGCATCTATAGGTAATTGGACGAACATATATCTGAAAATTGTAAAAAATGATAAATTTAAAATAAGTAAATGAGATACGCACAAAAAATGCACAACATACGTAGAATATAAGCAATGGTCACGCACAGTGTACGCATAACATACACATATATTTCGCACATCACACGCACAGTGTAGGAAACATACAGTACAT